GGCGCACCAACGCGCTCCATGCCAGATTCCCTGCACCATCCAGGAGTCTGCGGGGCCTGGAGGTGGCGGAGGAAGGCGCACCAACGCGCTCCATGCCAGATTCCCTGCCCCATCCAGGAGTCTCTGCGGGGCCTGGAGGTGGCGGAGGAAGGCGCACCAACGCGCTCCATGCCAGATTCCCTGCACCATCCAGGAGTCTGCAGGGCCTGGAGGTGGCGGAGGAGGGCGCACCAACGCGCTCCATGCCAGATTCCCTGCACCATCCAGGAGTCTCTGCAGGGCCTCGGAGGTGGCGGAGGAAGGCGCACCAACGCGCTCCATGCCAGATTCCCTGCACCATCCAGGAGTCTCTGCAGGGCCTGGAGGTGGCGGAGGAAGGCGCACCAACGCACTCCATGCCAGATTCCCTGCACCATCCAGGAGTCTCTGCAGGGCCTCGGAGGTGGCGGAGGAAGGCGCACCAACGCACTCCATGCCAGATTCCCTGCACCATCCAGGAGTCTGCGGGGCCTGGAGGTGCGAGGTCCACACCTGGCTGCACATGCAGACCAGGCCCTGGCCCTCTCCTCCGGGGGAGACACAGGACCCCTGCGGAGACCCAGCGCAGTTCTGACCAGGAGAGCTCCAGGGCTGGCCTCTGGAGCTTGGCCAGGACACTGGGGCTGGGCGCAGGGTGTTGAGCTGGTGCCAGAGCATGTACAGGACCAGTTGGTTCAGCACCAGCCCTCCCGCAGGGAGAGAAACTGGAGCAGTCTTCCCCATCTCTGTAGCCGCTCACCCACCCTGGCCTCCAAACCCTTCCTGTTCTCCAGCGGGGAGGGATGCATGGTGGATAGAAAGATGCCCAGATAGAGCAGCAGACCCGTGCTCCACCTGATGGCCTGAAGTGTGGGTGGGAGGGAGCCTGCCTGCCACCCGTCCCCGACCACCAGGCCCGAGCTCTCGACCCAGTTGACCTGGGCGGAGGAGGCCGCCAAGTAGACGGCTTGGCAGGCCTCCATCTGACCAGTTCACCTGGGTCCTGGATCACGAGGAGCACGTCATTGGCATATGCCAACAGGACCAGCTGCATGTGGTGGACCAGGCCGGGTCTGGGCACCACTGAGGGCGTCCGCTCAGGGCGAATTGCTGAAACCCAGGGCTCCTCACAGCCCCCGACTGGAGACCTCTCCAAACAGGTCACAAATCGGTCATACCGAGCGCTTCAGCTGCCAGTCCGGCCAGCAAGTAACCTCATGAGCAAAACCCCTCGGACACCCCAGCTCTCCCTGTGTCACAATCAGCCCCGGGCCTTACACACACACCCAACCTGACCTACCCCAAATGGGTTCTCCTGGTCCCAAAGAACCCGCCACAACTCCCTGGTCAATTTATACTTTAGATTTTTACCCACAAGATCACGCTGGGCCAGTCCTTTGGCATCTACAACCTAAAGGGTTATTAACAAGAGAGAGGGAAGGCGGGACTGAGGCTGTGAAGGCGAATCCGTCGCACGCACCAGGCACCCAGCTCTGGACGCAGGCTCTCAGCAGAGATGCTACAAACTGCCGGCTTAGCAGGGTCTGGTGCCCATCCTGTGCCAGGGCGGGTCGGCCTCCTTCCCGCTCGCTGCCCCGCAAGGCTGCACCTGGGATCAGGAGCGAGATTGGAGGCAAGATGGAGTCCACCTCATGGCATTTTATATTCATTCCTGGTGTCTCCCAAGCTGGAGCAGGTCATATGCTCAAGTGACCTGTCTGTGTTTCACATGTCAGCCGCCATTACGCCCTGGCTGGTTCGCATGTTTCCAGACGCCTCCCTCAGGTGTGAATCGGCCTCTCCGAGAGCCAGTGTCCGTGGGGCCGTGCTAGTTCGCACAGTCACTGACTGGACAGCCCCTCCCTACAGCAGGCCGTGCAGGCCCATTGCTCTGTGTCAGGCAGACACCCACCGCACCAGCCCAGAGCCCATGTCCATAGCCCCCCAGACAGACATCACATGAGTAGCAGACACAGAATCAGTAGAAGAGAAGCTTCCATTTGACACCTCTCATGGCCCCTTTGTGCAGATTTTGGGGCAAACACCCCGATGGGCGCAGCAGAGATGTGTCTGCTTGCCTTAAAATCCAATAACGTGATGCCGCAGCCCTGGCTCTCGGAGCACCAACCTCGTCAACCTCTGACGGAGGAGACAGAGGAAGGGTTCGATCGCCAGAGCGTACAGCTGGCCTGACAGCAGATACCCCTGACGTACTCCGCACCCAAAGATAACTGGCTCAGTCAGGGTCCAGCTGAGCCTGACCAAACACTCGGCGAGGGTGTGCGGCACCCAGAGAAAAGCCGAAGCCGAAGGCCTGCAGAGTGCCCAGGAGATCCCCGTGGTCCACCCTGTCGAACGCCTTCTCCTGGTCCAGGGACAGGAGGGCGAACAGCAGATTGTCCCTACACCCAAGCTCCAAGAGATCCCGGCCTAAGTACAGCTTATCGAAGATGCTACAGCCCGGGACAGTGTAGGTCTGGTCGGGGTGGATCACGTCCCCCCGCAGGGACCGCAGTTGCAGCGAGATGGCTTTCGCTACGACCTTGTAGTCTGTGCTGAGGGTCTGTCTGGGAGAGCGGCAGGGGCTGCACTGGCAGGGTGGCTGGTGGGTGGCAGAGCAGGCCTGCTGTTGTGTTTCCCTTGGACCCAGGGGCCACCCCAGCATGGTCTGTCTGGCAGAGCGCCCAGGGGCTGATGGGTGGCAGAGGAGGCCTGCTGCTGTGTCTCCCTTCAGCACAAGGGGAGGAACCTGAGTGGTGCCCACCCACGTCCGAGCCTGCCAGGCCCCCTACCTGAGCCTGTCGCAGCCCTGGCCATGGGGCAGCCAAATGGCCCCAGGACACAGCATGGCAGCGACAAAGAGCCTTATGGGCCCCAGTGCTGCAGCGTGTCACCCTGTGCCCGTGGGCCCTGCTCTGGGTCCCTGAGTGCCCCATGCCCTGCGCCCGCAGGCCTGTTTGTGCCATACGTGCTCCCCGTCGCCTCCCATCACTGCCATGTGCGCAGGTGCTGAGCTGGGCCCAGCAGCAGGGGGAGCGGCTGCAGCCCCAGACAGCCAG